TGATATTGTAGAGAAAAATAGCATTTATAATTGGTGAAACAGTGGACATACAATAGAACTGAAATATGAGCAGGGACATGATGGGTGTTGAATTTCAAGCTTGACATTTTCAATAATATTGATAATGCTCTGATTCCAAACAGTGTTAACATGTTTTTTTTAAACAAAGGGCAAAAAAATGACCAGACTGACAGTGATTTTTGTCTTGAACAATTATAAAATTCCATCGGTTTCTGCCTCACTCACATCACCTTTGTAAGAATTATGTGCTTTTAAATATTGTTGCTTGTTCTCCAAATTTTAGGTACAGTATTTTATAAATAGTTGTATTGGATTTTGACAAACAAGAAGTTGACTGCTATGTGAAGAGCTGTTCACATTGGTAAGACTAGACATAAATAAAGGAGGTGATGTAATGATTAACCATAACATGTCATACAAAACGGGACATTTATAGAGACAAAAACTAGGAAGTTAGAACAATTCAGAATTATTACACAGAAATTAAAACAATTTAAAATGATTGAATCTATTGGTGGAATGTACAGTTTAATAATAACGCACAGAAAAAGAATGAAGTGTAAAAATAATAGGATAACAATTACAGGAGATTTCAATGACCCCAACATTAACAGGGATAGACAAATTGCGACAGGCCGAGAGGGGTATAGTTCTTAAAATCCATCCAGGAGTGATTTTTATGCCAGCATGTAGAATGTCCTAGAAGTGAGGTGATGGTGCTGGAACTAATTTTAGGGGAAAAAACGCTAGGCAAGTGGAAGAAGTGTCAGTGAGGGAACATTTTGGTGATCGTGACTGTAATCAGGAAGATTTCAGGTAGTTTTGGAAAAGAACAAAGTTGAACTGGGAATAACTGTTCTGAATTGGGAAAATGTTGATTTTAATAAGACAGTATCTGGCCAAAGTGGACTGGGAACAGCAACTTGTTGTAAAACCTAAATGAGATTAGTGGGAGTCTTTGTAAAAGGAAATAGTGACGGGGCAGGGCCAACATGTTCCTATAAAGACGAAAGAGTGGGATCAACAAGTCAAGGGAATTGCTGAGGAATGTACAGCATTGGATAAGGAAATAAAAGGAAGCTTATGATAGGCACTGATGGCTCAAAACACCAGAAACCTGGAGGAGTATAGATAATGCAAGGGATTTACTGAGAAAAGAAATTAGAAAAGCAAAGAAGAGACATGAAAAAAAAACTGTGGAGTAGAATTAAGGAAAATCCAAAGTTGTTTTCTAAGTATATTAAGGATAAGAGGATAATTAGGGAATGAGTAGGGTCCATTAGGGACCAAAGTGGTAATCTGTACATGGAGCTGGAAAACACAGATGAGGTTTGAATGATTACTTTGCATCTGTATTCACTGTTGAAAAAGACAATGTAGGTATAGAAATCAAAGAACAGTACTGTAAAAAACCTGAACATATTAGCTGTTGTAGCAAGCTTAAAATTAGATAAATCCCCACGCCAAGATGAGATATATCCCAGGCTGTTCCAGGAGGCAAGAGAAGATATTGCAAGGGCCCTAATTTTCAAATCCTCTCTGGCTACAGGATAGGTGCCAGAGTACTGTAGACAGCCAATGTGGTGTCATTATTCAAGAAGGGTGTTAACGATAAACCTAGGAACTATAGGCCAGTGAGTTTAATGTCACTGGTAGAGAAACTACTGGGAAAAAAATTCTGAGGGACAAAATTAATCTCCACTTGTAGGCAAGGTTTTAGCAGATATAATCAGAATGGCTTTAGCAGGAGGAAATTGTGTCTGACAAATTTGATTGAATTTTTAAAGGTGGTGACTAGGTGTGTCGATGAGGGCAGTGCAGTTGATACAAAAAACAAAGTTGCTGGAAAAGCTCAGCAGGTCTGGCAGCATCTGTGAAGGAACAAACAGAGTTAATGTTTCGGGTCCGATGACCCTTCCTCAGAACCGTTCTGAGGAAAGGTCACCGGATCCGAAATGTTAACTCTGTTTTCTTCTCCACAGATGCTGCCAGACCTGCTGAGCTTTTCCAGCAACTTTGTTTTTGCTCCTGATTTACAGCATCCGCAGTTCTTTCAGTTTTTATTTATGCAGTGCAGTTGATATTGTCTACATGGAATTCACAAAGATTTTTTAACAAGGTCTCACACGGGAGACAGGTTATTATGAAATTAAGAGGCCACTAAGAGGGGTCAAGGCAATTTGGCAAAATAGATCCAAAAAAAAAAAAAAAGGCTTACTGGCAAGAAGCAGTGGAATTGATGGCGTGGTGAATAGTGAAGAAGGGTGCCTTAGGCTACAAGGCGATATAGACAGGCTGGCAGATGGGCTGAAAGTTGGCAAATAGAATTTAATCCTGAAAACTGTAAAGTGATGCATTTTGGGAGGACTAACAAGGCAAGGGAATACATATTAAATGGTAGGACCCAAGGAAGCACAGAGGATCAGATGAACAATTCTTGAAGGCAACAGGACAGGTGGAGAAAAAAAAAGAACTGCAGATGCTGGAAATCTGAAACAAAAACAGAAATTGGTGGAAAAACTCAGCAAGTCTGCCAGCATTTGTGGAAAGCAGAGTGAACATTTCAGGTCCAGTGACTCTTTTTCAGAACTGATAGCAGGTAGTACAAGGTTGGTATTTATGCTAAAGATGGGGAGGGTGAGGAGCAAATGACAGGTGGAGCCCAGAAAGAGGGAACAGTTAGGCAAACAAAGGAACAGGTAAAGGTCAGCCTGGGGGAATGAATTGCTGTTAATGGGGTCCATTAGGAGCTGACAATGGGTTGTTTGTGGTAGGAGCCCATGTGATGACAGAATTTGGTGTGTGGGGTAAGGACAAGGGAGAAAGTGCTCAAGCTCTAAAATTGTTGAACTCCATATTGAATCCACAAGGCTGCAGGGTTTTCAAGCGGACAATGAGGTGTTGTCCTTCCAAATTGTGCTGAGCTTCACTGGAGCACTACTGCAAGCCTGAGACAGAGATGCTGGCCAGGGAACACAGTGGTGTGTTGAAGTGGTAGGCAACAGGAAGCTCAGGATCATTTTTAAAGATAAAATGTAGGTGTCCTACAAAGCAATTGCCCAGGCTGCTTTTGTATCCGCAATGTAGAAGAGACCACATTGTGAGCAGCGAATACAGCTTTTTTTTTCTTTATTTATTCATGGGATGAGGGCATCACTGGATAGGCAGCATTTATTGCCCATCCCTAATTGCCCAGAGGGCAGTTACGAGTCAACCACATTGCTGTGGGGCTGGATTCACATGTAGGCCAGACCAGGTAAAGATGGCAGTTTCCTTCCGTAAAGCACATTAGTGAACCAGATGGATTTTTCTGACAATTGACAATGGATTCATGGTCATCATTAGATTGTTAATTCCAGATATTTTATTGAATTCAAATTCCACCATCTGCCATGGTGGGATTCAAACCCAGGTCGCCAGAACATTATCTGGGTCTCTGGATTAACAGTGCAGTGATAATAGGCCACTGGGCCATTGCCTCCCCTATGGAGATAGTAGACTAGATTGAATGAAATGCAGGTAAAGCCCTGCTTTGCCTGGAAGGTGTGTTTGGGACATTGGATGGTGAGGAAGAGGAAGTAAACAGGCAGGTATTACACCTTCTGCAATTGCAGGGGAAGGTGCCGTGGGGTGTGGCGATGTGCTGGGAATGGAAGAGGAACGGACCAAGGTATCCTGGCGGAAACAGTTCCTGTGGAATGCTGACAAGGACAAGAGGGGAATATGTGCCTGGTGGTGGCATCCTGTTGGTAGGAGAGGATGAGGACATGTGGAGAAAGTGGTTAAGTAGGGATATTGAATACTGGATACAAGAACAAGGAGATTATGATGGAGCTGTATATAATATTAGTCAGGTCACAGCTGGAATACTGTGTGTAGTTCTGGTTGCCACACTATAGGATGGGTGTGATTGCACTAGAGAGGTACGCAGAGGAGATTCCTCAAGATGTTGCCTGGGCTGCAGCAATTTGGCTATGAAGGAAAACAAGGCAGTCCGGTGTTACTTTCCCTGGAGCAGATTAGGCTAAGGGTGGACCTTACAAAAGTATGAGGTGCGTAACTAGTGTAGATAGGAAGAAATAATTTCCCTTAACGGGCAATAACCAAGGGCACAGATTTAAGGTAAGCGGCAGAAACCTTCACAATGTTGAATAAGTATTCAGATGAATATTTGAAATGCCATAGCATAGAAGGCTATAGGAAATAGGATTAGAGGAGATAGGTCCTTTGTGACTGGCATGAAGGTGATGGGCTGAAGAGTCTTTTTCTATGATATAAAATTTGACTCTAAGATTCAAAATGAATTGGATGTTTGCACGTGTTTGATTGTAATACTAAACTCTGATTGTAATTGTGTTATCAATGGTGTTAGCAAAGAGCAATTCAGAGGCTTGTAGCACAATAGCAGTGTACCTACCTCTTGGCCAGAATGTCCCAAATCAGAATCTGACAGTCTCAGAGGTGGTGTTGTAAAACACCCAAAGGATTTGATATATTAAAAAATAAATCAATTCAGACTTCAAATCATCTGCATTTGTTAAATTTTGTTCATTATAACTTGGAATGTAGCTATTAATTGAGTAATTAGGTCAGTAGACCATTGATATGAATGGAGGATTGATCATATTGATTGTTTTAGGAATAATAAGAATCAATTGCTTTTTACCAAAAAAAGAAGAAATAATCCTGGATCTTCAAGCTAGAGATGGAAAACAGTGTTTTCTGAAAAGGAGCAGCAAACAGTTGCACAGGTTCACAGAAGAAAGTAATCAGACCCAGAACTGGCATTGACATGTTCCATGAACGATCAAGGTCTTGCCTGATTTCTAACTATTGTCCAGTTGTTAATTTTTGTTTTATTGTTTTACTAACTCATTAATCATCTTCAATTTGTTACCAAAACTACTGTCCACCAACCATTTGGCTGGTTAAGAACCCAACTGAATGCTTAAGAAACTTGTAGAACTTTAAAAATTTACCTTTGCTCACCCAATTTTATTTTTCTTCCCTCTTTGGCTGTTAGCTTACATTTGGCACATAATTCCACAGGCACCTTCCACTCATGGGCATCACAGCTGAGCAGCTCATCTAGTGTCGAGTGAAAATAATATCAACAAGCCACAATCACCCAGAGGGTGAGAGGATAGAGTCATGAAGATGTGGGGCACATAACACAAGTTAAAAAGGGGGAGGGTTGGATGAGCATGAGGGGTAGGGCCACGCAAGTGGGAGGGTGGTGGATGTGATCAGGATAGGGAAGAGGAGAATGAAGGATTGGCATCATCAGAACCAAAACCTATCCTAATGTTCCATATACCTCTTCAGGGCTCAATTCACTGGAATCACAATTTTTAGATATCAATTTTATCCTTCCAGATTTAGAATTTTAAAAGCTAGAGTTATCAGCCATGACCAAATAGCAGAGCAAATTAGATGGGCCAAACAGCCTAATTCTGCTCCCATATCTTGTGGTCTAACTGAGATCATTCATCATTCAGAGAGTGAGAATTCCACTCAGAAGGAGTTCTGGTTTTCCAATTCAGTTATTCCATGTACAACATTTAACCACATTCTAAAAGTATTACACAGCATGGAATGTCTCCGGGCTTAAAAATAAACTTTTAAAGCGATCATGCTGCAATAATTGAAAAGAATGACATCTGTTACAATGACCTACATAATATTGCAAAATGCTTTACAGGAAACAAGTAAATGTCATCAATAATGAACATATATGTAAAGGCACAGCAGGGAGAGGGAGGAAAACCATTTCAAACCCTTCTGTGGGTTGCAAAAGTGAAGGTAAATATGCAATGAAGTTCAGGAAAATGAAAAATGCAATTTCTCTGAAAGGCTGACTCCAGAGTGAAGGCCCAGAACATCAGCAGTAGAAACAAAGCACAGCTCAGAGTGTTCACAACTCTTGACAATGGAGCCCAATAATCAGGATTTTGTAACAACATTACCTCTGGTGAATAGTCCACTCTGCAATGAATGAAGGTTCCAGCCACATTGCTCAAGGCAGCTCAGTCCAGTGGTAAACGACGAGAAAGTTGTTGAATAGTATAACTGCACCAGCTTCTTGGGAATCTCCACAGGATTTCCACAGAAATTGACCAGTGTTCAATAAAAAGGACAATGTTTTCTCCTTATCAGCTCAATCTGTTAAAGTTTCAAACTGAATTACATGCAAATATGTAACTGCACAGGTTGGAAATCAGACTCATTCAAACATCTCTTCTCAGTTCACCAACACCCTTTCTTCCCCCAAAGCAGGAGCAGGGCAGGGGGTGGGTGGGTCACTAGAACACCTACGGGAGGCATCCTGCTTGCAGTCAACACAAAAGAATGGGATTTCCTTCCATATGATGGATACTATATTCTGTGCATTGTATTCCAAGAATTTTCTGTATCTGAAACAAACCAAACAACTTGTATTTATAAAGTACTTTCGATGCAAGAAAAATCTCAAGGCTCTTTACGCAAGAATTTAAAACAAAAGTATGACACTACACCACATAAGGAACATGTCTAGTTGTCATTTTGAAAAGTTTGCTCAACAAGGACGATTTTAACGTACGTCTTAAAGGAGGAAAGTAAGGGAGAGAGGTGGAGAGGTTTAGGGATGGAATTCCTGAGTTTGGGGCCAAGACAGCTGAAGGTGCAGTCAGCAACAGTGGAGCGATTTTAATCAAAACACTGAAGAGTGCAGAACCAGCAAAGCGCAGATATCTCACAGGGTTGAGGTTGGAGGAAATTACAGAGACAGGGAGGGGCAAGGCCATGGACGGGTTTGAAAACAAAGATTAGAGTTTTAAAACTGATTTATTGTTTAACTGGGAGCCAATGAAGGTCAGTGAGCACAGAGTTATGGAATGGGACTTGCCGTAGCTTAGACCTGGGCAGAGTTTGGATGACCTCAAGTTATAAAGCATGAATCAGGGTGGTACCCTGGAATTATTTAAAATAAACACAATTAAAAGTGTGAAGAAAATTGAAGAAATGATCATCAATGCTAAATTCAGAACTGACTTTATCAGAAAACAGTTCAATATTTAATACAATCTCACTGGGCACTTTTACTGTTTACACAATAAATTGCATTAACACTCACCTAATGAAGCACTGTCATCTTACTGTGATCTGCTGTTTTTAAAATTGGTTTCCAATTTCAGATCAACTTCAATAAAATCTCCATTTTACGATATTATAGATTAAAATTAAATTTAAAGATGTCAGTTTTATTATGCTGAATCCAAAACATTTTCAAATATTTGTCACACTTCAACAACAATTTTGGCAGCAAAGGTTGTTAAGAAAATCCTTGACTTAAAAGCTGTTCAGTAAAGCTTAATATTTTAAGTTGCAAATAAAAGTTTGTCAAATAATTGTCAAACATCAAGGTTTTCATCAGAAGAATCTCGAGGAAGTACAAGAAATGGTAAAGTCTGATGCAAGTTCAGGAATTAGAAACTAGAACTCAGAATGTATCATTTGTCAATATACAGCTTCTCAGACGTGATCGTATCTCCACAACTTGAACAAAAACATCTGGCTTTCAGAAGAAACAAACCTTAAATGTTTGGGAGGTGAAAAATCTACCAAAATAAAATATTTTTTAAAAAGTGACAGCAATAAAAATTCCAAGAAGAAAAGGGCAATCTCAGTGCTTGGGATTTGGTTCTTACTTAAAAGCGTAGGGAAGGACATCACAGAAAAGGACAAAGGAGGACGAGCAGTATGAGGAGGAAAAGTATTTTAAACTCATACCCACAGCACTCGTGGTAAGAAATTCCCTAAGTTGGGGATTATTGTGATAAGTACACAACATTCTTGACACTTGACTTACCAGAAAGTTTTAAGCAAAGACTAGGCTTCTTTTGATTGACTCTGCACCATATTGGAACAACAGTTAGTAAATTCTGAGATAACAAGGTGGAGAGCTGGATGAACACAGCAGGCTGTTCATTTCCTTCCAAAAGTCACGACTTTTCCAACACTTTTGAGGCATGCTGAGGTTGGGAAAGGCACTTGCAAAATGTGCATTCATTGCTTTTTTCTGCAGTATTCCGCTCTGCTGTATTCAGATTTAAAGATGGAAGGGACAGCTGAGAAAAGCAGGCCAGGCAAGAATTGAGAAATGTACAGTGAAAGCATGAATCCAGGAGTGAGAAAGCAGAGTGATTTCACTGGGAACTGCAGGGGAAATGTAGGATATGTAGGAAAGCTGGATGAAGGAGCTGAAGAATGAAGGAATAAATTTACAGTGCTCCGTACAAAATGCCCAATTTCAGCAAATTCTGGGCCATTCATAAATGAGTATTTGCTAGAATTTGATTAGACAGAAAACTGAAAAACTCTTCCAAAAAGACTGCTGTCAGTTCAGTGCAACAGATATTCTGGAATGAGTATCTCTTACAACACACAATTGGTTGGTATAAAAGCCAACCCCTTATGTACAAAACAGTCTGAACAGAATGTTAACTAACAGTTGCTGAAAGAGAACTACTAATGAGACACTGACCCTAACCCTACTGGCAATTTGAGAGGTGGACAATTCCTTGTTTGGTCTTCGTAGCTGTGCCCCACTGATAGCCAGAAAATACTTTTTACTTGAGCATTCCTGACAAAGCTCTATGCACTTAGAGTGTGTACTTGGGACTCCGGCATACACTTCTTGGAATCTGCCCTCAAGCAATTAACACAGAAGTTAAATGGATAGAGATAGTAGGAACTGCAGATGCTGGAGAATCTGAGATAACAAAGTGTAGAGCTGGATGAACACAGCAGGCCAAGCAGCATCAGAGGAGCAGGAAGGCTGACATTTCGGGCCTAGATCCTTCTTCAGAAAATTATCAAAATAATGGGATTTTATATAACCACCCGAGTATGCAGGCAGCATGTGGATTAATGTTTCAAGTCAAGCTGCCTGTAGTAACCAGCATGATCAGGAGCCTTAGAACTGGTGGTTAACAAAATACTTTGCTCGATTGGAAATGCTGTGTGAGCAGTTATAAGAATTGGTAAGAGCTTTCAAGTGCACATTGTTATTGACATTAAAAGAATCAGAAAAAGATCTCTGAAAGCCACAAACACTTCCTTTGTGACTCCACCTTAAAATTTAACTCGTTCCAGGAAAAGTAATAAATGCAGTTGCATGTGGAAAATTCCAGTCATGAAATATTAGCAGAGACATTTTGTATTTTACTTCCATGCATGTACAAAGTGATTGCATCATGCTTTAATTATTCCCCAAATTCCTGAGTGCCCACTCTCTTTCCTGCCCATTTTAGCTGAGATTGTGAAATGATATTTCCTGTCACAATCACTATGCCCCACTTTTAAAGCTGTCCTCACATACCCATCTCCCACCTCCACAAAAAGACCCTTAATCATTATTCCCAAAGCTGCTCTGATTTCCAAAGGCCTTGAACAAACTTGTCCCTATTCATATTGGCGTGTAGAAGTATATTACTGAAACAAATAACATTCAGAAGGAGATACTGACAGGATGTTTCCTTTCTTGGCAGAATCTAGAGACAGGAGGCATAGTTTAAAAACCAAGGGTTTTCCGTTTAAGACAGAGATGGGAAGGTGTTTTCTTAAAGGCTATTCAGCTGTGCAATGATCTTCCATAGAGAAGCAGCACAAATGAAGCCAGAGTTAAAACTCCCCTACGAAACAATGACCATAACATGGTAGAATTTAGCATTCAGTTTGAGAGGGAGGAAACAACTGTACTAAGCATAAATGAGGGTAATCACAAAGGAATAAGGGCAAAGCTGCCTGGAGTGGACTGGTAAGGGAGGTTAGCAGCAAAGATAGTTGAGGAACAACGGGGGATGTATAAGAAAATAGTTCAAGGTTCACAACAAATATGTCCCAGTAGGGAAGAAGGATTCTAGGAAAGGGATAAGCCAATCATGGTTATCCAGCGAAGTTAAGGATAGCATCAAATTGAAAGAAAAAACATACACTGTGGCAAAGTTTAATGATAAGCCAGGCATTTTAAAACCAACAAAAGGCAACCAAAAAAATGAACAGGAAATGAAAGTATACATTGAGGGCAAAACTGCAAGCAATATTAAGACAGACAGCAAGGGCCTTTTTCAATATATAAAAAGGAAGAGAGAAGCCAAAGTGAACTTAGGCCCCTTGGAGAATGAGGAAATAACGGGGAACTAGGAAATGGCAGAAGACTTCAATAAAAACTTTGAATCAGTCTACATGATACAATACATCAACACCATTCCAAAGTTACCAAGTAATCAAGGAGCAAAAAGTGGACAGGAAATAAATTTAATAACTACCACCGAAGAAAATGTAGTAGGCAAACTGATGGGGCTATAGACAAATAAGTTACCTGGACCCAAAGGGGTGAATCCAAGGATATTGAAGGAAGTACAGTAAATTCTCTGTATCTGTGAAATCATAAATTGTGAATTCACCTATCTGCACCAAAAAATAGCAAAAATCATGTATCTGCAATTTTAACCTATTTTTAACAAGTTTCACTTTCACGAATTTCATCATTCGCGAGAGTTCTTATGAACGGAACCCTTGCAGATATGGAGGAATGACTGCAGCTAAAAAGACAGAGATGCACTATTTGTGATCTTCTGAGAATCCTTGATTCTGGCAAAGTCCCAGAGGACCGAAAAACTGCCAATGTAACACCTTTATTTAAAAAGGGAAGCAGACAAAAAAAACATGTAACTACAGGCCAGTTAGTTTAACATCCATTATTTGGAAAGTGTTAGAGTTTATTATAAAGGATGTAATACCCAAGTATTTACAAATATATAAGATGATCAAACAGAGTCAGCATGGCTTTCTTTGAGCAAATAACAATTAGAATAGGGTTGGCCAACTAATAAAACAGAGTTGGGTAAGGGGGGCATTTTCAGTCAATTTTCAGCTGGAAAAGCACAGCAGGTCAGCCAGCATCCAAGGAGCAGGGAAGTCAATGCTTTGGGCCAAAACCCTTCGTCAGGATGAAGTGGGGGGAGGGAAGCCCAGAAATAAATTTGGGGCGTCTGCAGGGAGGGTAGGTGGAATGGAGATAGGTGGATGCAGGCAGGGGGTTATTGTGGTAGGTCAGTGGGAAAGGTGGAGCAGATAGGTGTGTCTGAAGAAATGGACAGGTAGGGGCTGGAGAGATTTTGAAGCTGGTGAAGTCAATATTCAGGCCATTGGACTGTAAACACTCAAGGTGAAATTTCAAGTGTTATTCTTCCCGTTTACATTTGGTGTGGGGCAGGTGTAGCACCTCCTGTGGTTGCAGGGAAAGGTACCAGGTGTGGTGGGGTGTTTGGAACTGATGGAGGAGTCGTGGAGTGAACAGTCCCTGTGGAAAGCGGACAGGGACTGGTGGTTGGGTCTGATTGTAGGTGCCGGAAATGTCGGAGGATGG